TTTGTATCGAGTGGACGTTACACCCCCCCCCCCCTCTCTCTCTCCCTCTCATTAACCATTGCTACACTTATTATTCCTCGGGAATATGAAGGAATATAAAGTAATAAAGCCCCGTGGCTGTAACACGAATCTAGCCGTTTGATTCACATTGACGTTTTTGGTTTAAGTGCTGACCCATGCCTTTACAGTTTTTTGTTTAAATTTGCATTGTTTATTTCTATATTCGCCTCAATCTGTTTGTATTCCTGTGTGCGTTTGTGCTGCTTTTGTCTGAAGGTTAAAATTGAGCACTTTGGACCACAGCGATTCAGATAGTTTGGGGGTTTTAGCAGCCTAATTCGCCAGTTGCTTCTGGAGATAAATTATGATCACGTGGTGCTTATCATTACGCATAATCCTTCTTATCCGCAGACGACAATATTTCGATATCCAATTAATTTTGATATAGGTCTGCATATGCCGCTTGCGGTCAACATCTGAAAAGGTTGGGATTGGACAGAATACAACGTTTAGTGTCATGTTGAGCTGGAGAGATGCATATTGATAAGCAAACACCTTGTATCTATGTGACGCCTTGGCATATATCTGTATTTTATTGTTGTTGATGTTGTTGGTTGTTGTTGGTTGTTGTTGTTGTTGGTGGTGGTGGTGGCATGTCCTTGAACGTCAGAAGACTGGAGTACAGAGCCATCTCTGTTAGCATCCAATAATAGGAATATAAAAATACGGTCAAGCAGAAATACGTATACATGCATGTATATCACAAATTAACCCACTCCCTTGTCTGCTTTAAGCTGTTATATTCTGTTTATTGGCATAATCATATTTTTTTTTAAAATTAGAGTAATACATTTTATTGTTTTTCCATTCTAAATGTATTAGGGCCTGTGACCTTGCGGCCAGATGTGTTTTTGCGTTAATAATAAGTATTGATACGTATGTAACGACTAACTGACAAACACGTTACTGAAATAGATCTGATAATTACGAACAAAATATATATCCTATAGTCTATTTACGTCTTCGCGCATTAGAAATAAGATGGGCGATTCTTAACTCTCCATTGACTTAATTGGACTGAAATAGATATTTCAAGTGAGACCTCGACCCCAGACAGATGCCAGATCACAACATTCTCTATGTATAATATATATTAAAAGATTGCATTTCCCCCCAACTACCCACGTCTATTGGTACAATTTTATACTTTTGTTTATCAAAGTAAAAACGGAATATGGCGTTGACCAGAATCAAAAACTACACCCACTATAGCGGCTTTGTGAAGTCATAAAGGTACAAATCTATTAACTTCATTTCAAAAACTCCTATCTTTAGTGAGCTTTGTAATAAGTGCTAAATACACATGATCTATACAGCTATACATGCAATCAGTTCTAAATACTTGATTTATGCATGGATATATAATAGCTTGTGCTATGTAAATGACCCGCATTGACTCCCTTTAAAATATCCATAATCTTTACGAAAGAGTCATCTGGCACCTCCCATCTATTTGGTTCTGGTCAAAGCCCAGCTTAGGCGTGGGACTGAGGGGCCCAGGCCCCGCGGTTTAGGGGGCTCCGCGGTTCATGGCAAAAAGAGAAGAAAAAAAAATCAAATTCCAGATGAAAGTTTCACGGTAATCGATCTAGCGGCGCGAGGGCGGAGACTGAGCTATGCCTCAACCCCCTCTGAGAAGTTATATGTCATTTCCGCCCATTGTATGCCATTCGGAATAGATTTTGTATGAGATGAGATATTATGTAATTTTTTTTGTATTACAGACCGTTTAATGGTGTGTTACGCATGCCTGCCAATCAAAAGGATATGAAATGATCTTTTCATCGCGTTAGGGGCCCCGCGATTCTAGTCAGACCCAGGGCCCCGCTCAGTTTAAGCTGGGCTTTGTTGGTGATTACATGATGAATTCGGTAAAGAGGAGTAGCAACAGCAAATGGGCTCGCTACACTAGAACTTCTCTATAATAGAAGTGGTACCAGGTGTTTATGAAAAGACAAGCGTACTTCGCGACATCTGTCACTGCTATCGCGTCAACTGAAAATTCGAGCATGATAAAACTGGACCATAGGTTTGACCAGTTAGATCTCTTACGATAGAAGGTAGAGTCATGTTATATTAGTCAGCTACTTCTGATTAGTTTATACTATGGGGCATTATTAGAGAGTTTTATTAAAAAGTTGACGATGGACCCTTTCATGTATTATTTAACATTTCAAAAATAAATTCTGCTTGATATAGCCTTTTCGGTTCTTGACAATTTGAACTAACCTGTTTTTAGTTCAATAATAGACTTTTTAGGAAATGGAATTCTTTCTACCACATATTTACGTCTATTTTGGAGTCCGGGAAAATATTGCAATTTTAGTCGCAAAAAGCCCATTAATAGAAAGAAAGAATGACAGAATGGATGATTAATTAATTTAAAAGATTCACTTGATTTTGCCTCCACGTTCTTATTCAGAGACTGCATTACCAAAATACTCCAATATATAGCACTAAGATTGTCCAAAAACAATGGACAGACAGCGACCGATTAATTGCAGCAAAAGAAACCAATGTTTCCTCAATTTTCTGTTTCGTTGCAAGTGACTATATAACTTCGACGATTGTGATTTAAATGTGATAAAAATTCATTTTCATAATTTTCATATTATGTTTAATTGAATATTCACAATGATAACACCACAGAATCGCATTGTTGTAACTATTTCTATTAATTGTGTTCATTATTCAAAATCATATATGGTCTGGAATCGTTAAACATTCGACATCACTCCCACTCCCACCCTTTACTTGAAAATACTGAAGCTTTCCGAGACTATACGATTGGTCGCTTGTGATTAACTTTGTCCAAGAATTAGAAAAGCCCTAAAAGCCCACCGCATCTCATATTCCATCCGACGACCATGACGACCATACCATTGTTTTATTGATATTTCGATTCTAATATGACTGCGAACTAAGAATCTGTTGTAAATTAAGGATGTTTTTGGACAATCTATAAGCTTAAAGTAACACGAACTTCATAATAATGATTGAGGCTATAAATAGATAGAGAGAATTGATGTTATGGGAACGTTTTCATACGGTCGTACATTAAGTTTTCGTTTTAGGCCAATTCCGAGACGCAAATCTATACGACCATTAACTAATTAATCTCCAACTGGTCAGGGTATATAGGCAATCTAACTACTCAAATAAAGGTCAACAGACTTATGTATATGATGTCAACAAAGAATTTTAACATCCAAATGACGCCATTTTCACTATAATTAATTGTAAACTGTTAATACAGAGTTGAAATGATCACTGATTCAGGTTTTTGAAGAGGAATTGTCGTATGAAAGGTAGAAAAGGTAGTTATTTAATGTAATTGTAAACTTTTTATTTTATCAGTTCCAGAAACCCAACAAGAAATCGGAAGTTATATTAAATATATTTCTTTCTTTTCTAGGACAGAATGGTGTACCAAAATTACAGACTCCTACAGAATCGCACGGAAATCACGTCATTAGTGAGGATTTCTCTTTATAGTATGTAGCCCGACACCGATAACGTTCAGTTGCCACTTTTATTTTTATAATAACACCCAAAAATCTGCTATTTGCAAGCTGAATTTGCAGAAACAAGAGCAGTTGATTGACCCGTGTTTGGACGCCAGAACGTAAACATCCGCATGCGCTCACTTCGCGCAAGAAAAAAAAAACGCCAGCGAAAAAGTCGCCAATCGAGCAACTGTTACCGCGCGCGGAAACGCTTACATGGAAACGGTCCATTACTTCTGCATTATATAGACTTTTCCGCCGGCGGAAACACGTACATGGAAAGCAGGCCTACCCGATTAAACTGACGCCGAATTCTACTGCTTAACATAAATTAAACTAATTCTCATCGAAATAAAGATTAAACCATGCTACACAGATTCGATATTTCTTTCGTTTTTAAAATGGCCGCCAAACCAGAATTAGAACACGCACCTCGAAAATGTATATAAAATGTACGCGGTAACTTTTTAAATTACTATCTCCATGCACACTATGGTGTTATGTGTTGACAATTTAGCGTTTGAAGCTATTTTTACTGGCGCAAAGCCTTGAAGAATGTATCATTCGTAGCGGTGGACAAGACAGAAGCCTCTACAATATTGCAGCTATGGTCACAAAGTGAACATAAAAGTCGAAAATCTTTAATTTGAACGAATGAATTGATCATGATTAAAGACGCACAGATCTTCGGAATTGGCAATAAATGAAGGGAAGCAACTCCATTATTATTATACATGTATGTTCGATTAGACAATTATTTGAATGACGATTTATCCCTTATTAGATTAGTACTTCTAATAACCATTTCGATTTATTTAGTCGTTGGGAGCCTTCTGGTTATTTTAAAGATATATTTAACATCACATAACACCTTAAATCATGACCACCATTACAGCGCCAATAATTGGTTAAAAGAGAGAATAATACGCCAGTCACGAAACGTAAAGTTTGAACCCATAAAAAAATAGCTGTCTAATTCAACAAACCCAATAAGGATAAACGGGAAAACCCCAAATAAACCCTATACTAACCTTTAATCTGATTTTATAGCTTTAGAGTGTGTGGGGTTTAGGCGACAGGGGCATGAAGGCATCAAGAAGTAGTCGTTCATTGTGAAAGAAACGGAATGGAGTTTAATGTCTCGTCAACATTTCAGCTAACACCAATTTGTATTGACCTTGGATTTTTCTTCCTTGGTAACACTTTCCGCGATTGACCCAAAACCCTCCCCAAACCCTTCCAGGTCCCTTACAACTAGAAACTGAGCGTCATAAATAAGAAGTCGGGAGATTCAATAAACTATTCGGGTGAAGAAAATATTGTAATATGAAATCTGATCTTATACCAAAAATAGAATTTAAGAGTAATATTCATTTTTTATTCAATAAATCTATACATCACATTTACACATACATATACACAGAATTGAGTTTTCCCTAAGTTATTGTTGGCTTATATTTGGCTCACTTGAAAATCATCAAACCAAGCAATGCCATAGGGATACGTTCCCACTGCTACCCAACCATTAGTTATTTCTGTAGGTGTTTTTATATCAAATAATACTTCTGTATTAACAGCACCAGTCAAACGACTTCCCTAAAATATAGAATAAATACAACATATAAATATATCAAACAACTTCCCTAAAATACAATAAAAACACAATAATAAAACCTCCAAAACATCTTCCTAAAATATAGAATAAATACATTAAATGAAATGGAGTTTAAGGTCCTACTGTTCTGCTCAGACTTACAACATTAAAACCAATTAATCAACCTCCTAAAAACACACAACGTCTGTATTAACAGCACCTGTCAAACGATTTCCCTAAAATATAGAATAAATAAAACAATAAAATCTATACAACGACTGTCTAATAACTTCTGTATGTCTAATAACAATATCAAACAATTTTATAAAAGTATATACATTAAACAGTTTAAAAAATAAATAATTCCAGCAAAATTAAAATCGAAAAAAAAGAAACATCTCTTTACTTTCCCACCGATGAATTCCTTAAGTGCTATTTCAGATGCTGGCCAATTGCATTAACGATATATTAAACATATTATACTTATTCAGTTTTGACTCTCTATAATGAATGTCATGTTTAAACTTAGCTACGTTTAATGATAGTAATATTACAATACAGTAATAGTAATATTAAACATGTTATACATATTTAAACTGGACTACAGATTAATGCTACACGACATGTTTAAACCGGGATATGTATAATGATAGTAATATTACACATGTTTTAATTGAGCTATATATAATGATAGTAATATTACATACTAGAAGAATGCCCGGCTTCGCTCGGGGGCCATAACCCTGAAACCGGAAGTGGTAGACTAACTCCACCTGGCCTATGTTACTCCCCGGTCCGAGCTACCCCTATAACCCAAATTTCAGACTCGGGGCAGACCTAGTGTAGCCGCCAACCCCGAACAGACAGACAGACAGACAGACAAACGACAGTCACACATATTAGTATATAGATATGTATACGTATCAAGATAGCAATACTACACAAATCTAAATCGAACTAAGTAAAATAAAAGAAAGAGAAATTATTGTTGTTGCGTCGGTAACAAGATTGCCTTAAACTAGTGCCATAAAGTTTTTACCTTTACTTGTAAAGTAAGTACATCCCAGTTGTTGGTAACTTTATTAACTTTTCCAGATACTAGAACTTTATTTTGTACTAAAATAAAAAAAGATTATTCCATAAATAGGAATTCTACTGAAAAGAAAAGCCATCTTAAGACTGAGCAGTATACGCCTATCTGGTTTATATCTTAAACGAACACTATATAAGAATGGCGTTCCAGTAAAAAAAAAAACCGGAAAACTTTAACAACGACAATAAACAGTTTTCTAGAAATGGCTCGACAATCATTTACAAACCGACTAATTTAGTTTCAAAATCCTGTATTTATAAGTACATGTATTTTGAGCAAATTTGATCAAATTCTCTTTATAATGCACTAAACACCTTAATTGAAATGAAATGGGGTTTAACGTCCTACTGTTCTGCTCCTATACTGGGCCAATGAAGACGGGCATACGCCATACAATGTGCTATGAGGGAAATTTTGCCCGGGCAGCGGCACTATCGGCCTACTCTTATATCGAATTCCAACTGCCAAGAGATGTTTTACGTGCATTCCAATGTATACACGGGACCTCGTTTTTTCGTCTCATCCGAAGGACTAGACAGCTGCCCTTGTCAGGCCCTCCATTCTGCACCACTGACAAGGGGAAACCACGTCGGAAAATCCAGATGAACTTTCTCGGCCAATGCAGGGATCGAACATCCGACCTCCAGGCTAGCGAGCCAGCGTCTTAACCACCTAGCCACAAACACCTTAATTATAAAACGCAATAAAAAACTTTCATAAAATATTATATTGAAATTCCTTCTTTGTCTCTTTTGCAATTTTAGACACACGATGTTTGTCGGTATCATCGGTGATTAATCAAATACAACTTACATACATCTACAGTAAGCAAGAAGCGTTGTTCCTTAGGGTAGAAAAACATAAAAAGACCCGTTTCATTTAAGGCTGGACATCCACCGTTTGTTGCTCGAACTGCAAGAAATACTGCGTCACTGGTATTTTGACCTTGTAGCTGAACAGCAACTGCAGCAGAAACATCCTGCCTATATTAAAAAATATTAATGGATAATTATTACAATATTCATTTATATACAACTTAAAATGCTCTTATACGAAAAGGTAGCTACTGGAATATTTGGTGTTTCTACAATTAGGTCATTATTATTAGGGCCTATGTAATTTATTGTTTCACGGAAAAGAAATAAGATAAAATGAAACAGGTTTAACTTCTTACTTTTCTGCACCAGCCAGGCTAATGGAGAACGACAGATGCCGTGCAGTGCGCTGAAATTCCGACCGGTCAGTGGCACTACAGCTAGCTCTCATCTTAATTTCCAGATGTAAGAAGAACGTCCACGTGATGTCAATGGAATACAAGGGATCTCATTATTTTGTGCAAGGACACGGCTCCTTTCCCCTTGTCAGTCGTTCGGATGGGACGACAAACGAGGTCCCGTGTACAAATTGAAATTCGAATAAGAGTATATCGTAGTGCCGCTGTCCAGGCGCAATTTTCCCCGTAGCACACTGTATGGCGTATGCTGGTCTTCATTAGCCCAGTCGGTACAGAAAAGTAGGACTTTAAACAAAAATTCATTTTATTTCATGTTGCAGCTACTACTTCGAGTTCCCGTTCAAAAAAGTTGCTTCAATTTACTGCCACCGTGGCACTATTACTGTTGATAAAGACGGTGATGAGGTGGGATTTACCTACCATTGGTAATCTCCGAAAACATTCAATGAGGTGTTCCCATTATCTACATGACACCAGTACCAATGTACGGGTTCATCTATAACTACTTGTTTCATAAACTTGTTTCCATCACTTTCACCAACTTCAAATGATCCAATTTGTTGAGCAAAGTAATATGGTTCTTCACCCACATCGTACCCTGTGTTAAATAAATAGTATTAAAGATACCTGATCGATGGAAGCAGATTTAATTTATATGATAATTTTATAGCCTCTCCCAAAGATTTGCCAAAGTTTCAGTTATCCATAATTTTGTCAATTTATTATAAAATCATTACAATAGGTAGACTAATATGTATTGTCGCTCACTTTTTGCAATACTTTGGCCACCTCTGACAATGGAAGGGTTCTTGTCGGTGATTGGTAGGACCCCGTGATTAGTGTGTTTCTTAATTATGACCAGGGCTTACATATAGTTTTCCCCGGAAGTCTATCAATGTTTAAATATGCTGGCGTCTGAAATTGATAACTGCATGAAATTTCAGATTAATGAGGAAAGATTGGTGAAATCGTTTACCTTCAAAATCCTCAGTATACGGAATAGGAAAAGGTCCAGAATCGGGAATATTTGGATAACTTCCCTTGTTGCCAGTTGTAACTGTTGTTAAAGTCCATACTTCATTCTCTTTTATTGTTAGTGAAATAGAACCATTTTGAACCTAAAGTTAAAAATTACCCCAAAAATAAATAAAATAAAAACAAGAGCCCTGGCGACATACACGCCAATCAATCCGGATAATCAAATTGATTAATTATTCTACACTTACCATAACTGGATCCATTTGTTTGAAATAAATTGGTGGAACTTTTGAATATCCTGGTCGACTATACCATACATTCAGTGATTCTACACTTTCAGCCTAAAAAAGAATTTTCCAACATTAAAAGGAAATAAACTAGAGTTTAAGGTCCCGCTTTTCTGCACCAAGCTGGCGAATGAGACGGACATGCTCCATGCATTGTGCTATGATGAGGAACATTTTGCCCTATCTATCTTATTTTGTTTTGCAATGGTGTATAGGTACCCCTGATTTTCGTTTCATCCTAGCCAGGCCCTCTGTCATGCACAGCAGACAATAAGAAAATCGAGAGAAAATTTCTCCGCCAACACCGAGAATCGCACTACTCTATACGGAGTACCTGGGGCCTGTTTCACGAAATTTTAACTAAGATAAAATCCAAATTTTAGTAATTTGATTGGATAATATTAGACTGATTGTTGTGCTTAGCCAATCAAAATTGAAGTATCTACTAAAATTTGGATTTTATCTTTAGTTAAGATTTTGAGAAACAGGGCCCAGGTTAGTCAGATGCTGCCACTAAAATCCCCAGGTCACCATTCACCTCAACGAAATATCACATAAAGTAATTATTTAAAAAGTAAACATGCACTAGTGGGATACATACCAGAAGGGATTCATAACACATTTCACAAATTATACAGCGGTAAATATGTATTTCTATCACGGTTTCTAAAATATGTATTAGTGCAATGGTTTATCGATACATTTGTATGAGCAATTTAAGATAAAAACTTACGAATTTTCCTTTTAGCTGGAAATTAACTATCTGTTCCTTCAAATTCTTTAAGTATAGAAACTTTCCTGGTCTGGTACATTCAACAGGGTCTTGACTCTAAAATAATATTTTTAGATAAATAAAACTCAACACAGATAACATTGATATCTAAAACATAAGACATTGAACACCGCCGATCTTTTAAAAGATTATAAAAACAATTCTGCAATACTGGTAACATCGATATAATTATGAAACTATATGGAAAAACTAATAAAGATACAATCGATATACCAATCTATTATATAAAAAAAACTCAATAAAGTTACTATCGACATGTAAAAAATATTATGACAAAAACTCAATAATGGTACCATCGACATGTAAATAATATTATGAAAAAAACTGAACAAAGTTATCATCGATGTGTGAAACTATTATGAAAAAAGCTGCTACAGGTACCATCGATATGTCAAACTATTATGAAAAAAGCTGCTACAGGTACCATCGATATGTCAAACTATTATGAAAAAAACTAATACACATGCCATCGATATGTGAAACTAACATGCGAACAACTCAATATAGTTACCATCAACATATAAAACTATTAAAAAAAAAATAATAATGATACTATCGATATGTGAAACTATTATGAAACAAAAAAACTCAATAAAGTTACCATCAACATGTGAAACTATTATGAAAAAAACCTCAATAAAGTTACCATCGACAGGTGAAACTATTATGAAAAAACCCCAAATTAAACTTGTCTTCGTTATGTGAAAATATTATGAGCAAAACCTCAATAAAATTACCATCAATATGTAAAACTATTATGAAAAAAGCTCAATAAAGTTACCATCGACAGATGAAACTATTATGAAAAAATTGATTACCATCGATATGTGAAACTGTGAAATAAGCTAAAAAAGACACAATCTATACATGAAAATATTACGTGAATAACCATCAATAAAGACACCATCAATACGTCAAACTGCGACAAAAGCTACTAAAGACACCACAGATATGCGAAACTATTCGAATGATACTCTTTGTTTCATTTAAATCAATTACACATACCAATGTCTCTATAATAATTGTCAGTTGTTGTTCATCTGGACTTGTTAAAACAACATAGCTTCCACCATTAGTAAAATTACCAACACCATATCCATGTTTAAAATATTTCCAACCTATTTCTGTGAACTGAGTCGTGTGAGCTTGAAATAAAAATATAAAATTTCTGTGTATGACAATTGGTACTGCTTATCGTATTGGCCTCCACTATGTTTCAGCCGATATTAACATACATGGACAAACATGATTCTGAATGAGATTTTATATTGACAGACATCTGTCTGTTTTCTTTTTCGGGGTAAGCGGCTATGAAATATGGGGTATAAGGACCGCTGAGGTAAGGTGTGGTATAGGCATGGTTGACGTTGCTTACAAGTTACGCTTTTGGAGTTATACTTCCTGTTTCACGCAACGTCAATAAGGAAATGCCGGAGTGATCTACCCGTGCAATGTTGAATACCCAGCTAGTACATATAAATTTTCATCACGATCATCTGATTGATTAAAGACCGTTCAAACCCCAAAAGAGCAATATGAAACAGTTTTCAAAGGCATATATTCATAGGCGTAGGAGCTCAAAGTAATTCAGGGGGGCATAAGAGAAAATTGCCCGAAATCAATACCGTTTTTTCGGGCATACATATCATAAGAGAGCTTCGGGCATATTTTCGGGCATGCAGTGGACAAGAAAAAGACGAGAAAATACTTTTCGGGCAGTGTGGATCTCATAGAAATAAGTTAGTTATATTTTTTCTCTAAACGTTAATAGAAAAAAAAGGTCGTCGAATTTTTCATTGCCCCCGGCTCCTACGCCTATATTTCTCATGAATGTGATAAACTTCATATTACTATGTCCAATTGAATTTGCACAATGATACCCCACAATATTTCTATTATTTGTGTTCATTATCCATGACACGCTCCGAAAAATTGTGAAACTTTTGTAGGGAAGGTGACACCCCTAAACTCCCCTCTCGCGCCGGTGTTGACTTACTCCTTCGTGGACCACTCGACCCACTGCCTTACTAGAAACTCCTGGTCCGTTCTAGACAATACGTCGGTATTCAAAGACAAGGAGTATCTTAGGGAATGTACCTGTCATCCAAATAGGTGGCGATACTTCATAATACCCCGACCAAGGTTCAGCAGCCCTCATAAGGCCAGCATTAATCCAAGGTAAACCATAATAATAGCTGGCTACCGCATTCCACATGATGGTTCTGTAAAAGTAGGAATGCTTTAATCAGTAGAAGGTAAAGAATTACCTGTCATCCATATTGGGGGCCTAACTTCATAGTGACCGGTCCACGGAACTCCAGCACTCATTAAACCGGCATTATAATCTGGTAAACCATAATAATAGCTGGTTACTATATTCCAGAAAATTGTTCTAGTAAGAAAGTAAAATGTTTATCAAGAACTGAGAAATAAAATGGAATATGTCAAGTTCTTATTTCATATTTAGGTCGCCTCAATATTAACCACTGGTGGCTCGGCGAGTATGGCCTTGGTTCGCTGGTTCCAGCTTTCTCTTTGGCAGTGATGCAGGGAGGAGGCATTGACAAAAATGACAAGCGTTTAGTTGTTCGGATGGGACGTAAAACAAGGTCCCATGTATACCATTGGCACCACGATAAAGATCCACTGACATGACAGTTGAATATGGAAATCCGAGGTAAAATGTCCATGCTCGGTTGGGGCAGAATACCTAGACGTTATACCACAATTCATTCCATTCCATTTATTAGTATTTGGAGGAAACGGAAGAACATGAAGAATATCCAAGATGTAGCCACACTATCCCTCTGCTTGTCACTAAAAATATTTGGATAGAACTCGCCATAGCAGTGATGACATATCCAAGACAGACATCGTCTTCAATTTAAGAGAGAGAGAGAGAGAGAGAGAGGGAGAGAGGGTGGGGGTAACGTCCACTCGAGTCTTCAATTTAAATACATCTGATTGAATAATAACTGAATAATAACTATCAGAATACTTACGAGGTCATTAGGCCGGTTACATAGTTTTGATTTAAAGTCTGAAATGATATTATTTTGTAGGCTATAAAGAATAAAACAAGTAAAATTGCATATCTTTAAATTGCTGATCCCAATGGTTAGAAGACAGTTTTAATTTGATTTTATATTATAATATGGAAAACGAATCTAAAACTACATGTAAGGGGTAGCGGGAATCCATGCGACTTACCCTGGAAAGACAGCCACCACCGGTTACGTCATCGTGGGAAGTTCGGTCTTCTGATGCCCATAATGGTTTGCCAGTTTTTACGGCTGCAGGGCTACTAGTCATTTCAGGATAATGCGACCTGAAACAAGCAGGGGAGGCAAACAATAAAAGGTTTGTATCACCTTACCTTCGCTAAATTACCAGTACCGTCCTCTGAGGCCCAAAGTGGTTTGCCCGTTTTCCGTGCTGATTCGGTACTACTGGATCGTGGATAGTGAGACCTGAAACATGGTAACTCTTTCATGTGCATGTTACACGACATGAAATTGAAATATCTGGATCCAAATATGTGCCACAAATCACCATTAAACCCTTATTTTTGAAAGTCAATCCAATGTTAGTGTATCATACGTAATTGACAGCTTTAAATTTCAGTTTGAAAAATATTCTATTTAAAAGACTGCAAAAGATGGCTGGCGTCTTGAATCAATTCAAATTCGAATTCTGTGCAATGCCAATTTTTTTTTTCTTATAGTCCTCAGATGGGAGGTTCTATCATGTTCTAACGCGCACAACCAAACACCACCGACTACCGACAAGAGCGTTACTTGGTCAATAGCGTCCACATTATTGCAAAACGTGGCCGTTATAGATATGCACTTTCTACACAATTATTTATTAAGATTTGTATCTGGATAGGGGCTGGGGAATAGGCAAATAGTCTAAATTAGAAATCTCTCCCGTGTACATTACCTCGTGCACAACATCCATCACTAAATATAACTAATTGATCACCAGTTTAGACCTGCATGGATGTCAAAAGGTCAATAATCCAATGCATTAAATTTAAATATTAAAGACCTAATGTTAAAAGTCATCTTACCCAATCGCATAAACAGCATCGAATAGCTCTTTATCATTTGCCATGTCCTCGACTATTGGCCAACCATTCTGATCGGAAGCAATGATCAACGTATTACTGAAACCACCCATATCTAAAGCTTTGCGTAATGTCTGGAAACATACAAGTTTAGATGAATGGACTTGCAAATCAAGGTAACAGAAACAAGGATGACAACAAGGGTATATGATAAATCCATATCTTTGTATATAATACAGCGTCTTCGCTAGCCAAGGGTTACGATTTGCTTCTCAAGCGAATCGTATCGTAACCCTTGGCTAGCTAAAATGATAGTACAGTTATATCAGATTCAGACAGACATAGACTGACTACTCAAATGTTGTAATATGTTGGTAAATTTGTGTAGTATTGTCGTATTTAAAGTTTTCAACATTTGTTTTTTTTATATTCTTCAATTTTAAAAAATATTTTTTACGACTGAATTTCTACAATTAATATGCTCTTTCACAGCAGTTATCTCATAAAAATAAAACACATCTCGCCACTGACAACGTGTCGCGTAGATTTCGAAAAGATATAAAAGTTTAATTAAAAAATATTCCCATTGAAAATAGCATTAGGATCAGTTCTTAATCTGTTTACCATTTACCTAATAAAAATGATATGAAGCTATTTTTATTTACCTTGATATAAGTAACATTATAAGGACTCTCGTTCCAGATCTGAAAAAGGACAAATTTACTATATTATAACATTATTCATAATCTATATTAAATTATAATGCAGGTACTATTATATAACCCAGTTATAATGAACATATCACTGGTTAATCCCATTTATAATTCAAAGTAAGATCATATTAATAAACTTACGCCTATATAATGTATGTGATGATATTATAACGTCCTTACGCCTATATAATGTACAGTAAAAATATACTAAACTTACGCCGATATAATCAATAGTAAGATTATAATGAACTTTAGCACCATTAATCCACTTGACTATATAATCAGCTGTTGTTGGGATGTTCTTCCAGGGTGTATCTTCAGCATCCCTCAACCATCCTGGAAATCCCCATGGTAACCCATACAACTTAATATTAGGGTTTCTCTACATGACAGAAAAACACACAAAATAAATATTTAAATCCTGCAATACAGGAGGTATACTAATAATTCGCTATTTCAAATTGGAAGCGAGGAACCCAAATGGGTATGCTCACCTTTTTAGCTTCTTGTAACATCCACCATTCATAACCCCGTGTATAATCTTCATCCCAACCATAATGCATATGTGAAGCTTCTGTTCCATCTGTAGAACAAAGAATAGATGAGGGTTCATGCATATTTAAAGTAGAAGACGGAGAAGCTTGAGATGATGATTATGCAACTAAAACCTAAGGTTGTAAGCTTTCTAACATTAATGGAGATGGTCTATCTGTCGATATCAAAGATATGTCAACATGACAGCTACTCGTATCAAATCTTATTAGAACGTTAGCCACGCAAACCGCGGAAATACGGTCTCACAGCAGCTTTGACCAACTTCAGCTTATCCGAAAGAAAAACTTGGATGTTGACCAAATTTGATGACTCCATTAACGATTGCTAGTTTTTAATCCGCCAATGACGTCACAAACACAACCTATTAGTTTAGTACGGCGTTTTAAGAGATTCGCCTATAAATGTTTTAGTTTTAGATATTACCTCTAGTATTAGATGGAAAAATATTAATATACATGTAAGTTAAAGATACATTATGGGAGATATTTATAGAGAGTTGGCCATTCTTGCTATAACAGTTCAAAAGTAGATGATGAAAGAAGAATATATTGAAAAATTCAGTCAAATTACTTTATTCTGAACATAGTTATCATCGTTGTAATATTTGCCTAGAAATGGTAGCGAAATGTGTCTTCACCTTCGCCGAACGTTTGATTGACAGGCGTTAACTCCACCTACATATCTCGATTATCAAGTAAAGTTTTCAATGGCATACGGAAACGCTTTACAGCGGCCTCGCTAAGTACACTCTATCATTTAGCCTCGATCTAACTGACGTATTTTCATCAGGTTACCCCTTATCTGATTTAATCAATTAGTGAAATCCTATTTAAATCCGAGCTGTAGCCGAGCCATCCGTGGGTCTACAGAGTTTATTTTGGTCTTGTTGTTTAAATAAAGATCTAATTTATAATTTCTATAACATCTGAAGCCTAAATTAAGACTTGCAATAATCAGATTTAGCTCTTGCATAATGCATGTTTAATGCATAATAATATGTATATTGCTACTCATGGTATAATGAATTACTCGGGTGGTATATTATTACTCATAGTATAATGAGTTACTCGGGTGGTAATTAGTCTGTTTAATGTGACCTCGATCAATATCTAATTGTAATGACTTGCATGATCCATTATTAAACTTATATGAGAGATTAATGAGTTTACCAAGTATGAGGACGCATAACTACGAGGATGTAGAACAAATATTTACCTGTACTTTGTATATCACCGCCTATCTCCACTTTAAAGATATGAAGAGATGCTCCAAAGTTAGGCTGAAAATGATTGTTAGATATGACATGATATTTTATCACCAGAAACATCTGTATGTTATCAGTTCGATACTGTGGTAACAATTGTCATCGGACATTTGCACTCGGCGGTTCAATGAAATGAAATGAAATGGGGTTTCACGTCCTACTGTTCTGCTCCGACTAGGCTAAAAAGGACGGGCATATCCCATACAGTGTGTTATGAGGGCAATTTTGCCCAGGCAGCGGCACTATGGCCTATTCTTGTATCGAACTTCAACTGCCAAGGGATCTTTCAGGTGCACGGCGATGTATACACGAGACCCCGGTTTATCGTCCCATCCGAACGAACATCCTGCACCACTGACAAGGGGAAACCACGTCGAAAATTCCCGATGAACTTTTTCGGCCAATACCGGGATCGAATACGCGACCTCCAGGCTAGCGAGCCAGCATCTTACACACTTATCCACCGTGACTCCTGGGTTCAATGAAAACCTTTGACATCTTGGTACATAATGTGATTTTATCACCTAAATACATTTTTTCAATAAATACGAACTTACATAATTATACACCCGACCTTTTATTAATGTGCAACCATAATACACCTTATTCACGACTCTCCAAATGTTTCTGGAAAAGATTGTTAATATTCTTACCTTAAACAAAAAGTCCAGAATTTCAGATCGTTGTTGTTCAGGATAATTAACAAGTAACTTTGATGTTGCCTGAAAAAAGAGATGACAAATATTGTGTTGACCGGGCACTGAACTCATTCCATTCCATTACATTCATAATATTTTCCATTGGTTTATTTTGATCTCATTGTTTATATTATCTTTATAAAATAATTGTAATGTGATACTACCTGAAGGAAATTTTATTTTCATACTAATTAAAATATCGTATGTTTCTTGATACGAATAAAATTAAATATTTCCGCAATTTATGATATCAATTTTAGTTATTTTCATTTAAAATCAAACATATTACCCCTCCTCCACTTATTGCTCCAATTCCATTAAATGTTCTGCCATATCCAACAGAATTATCAATTATATAGCTAGATGCTTGATCACTAGTTGTTTGGTATACCAAAAGCGTCAGAATCGCAAATGTCATAAACGTCTTCATTGTGCTTTGTGCTGTTTATAATAAACTAATAAAGTAGATCATATGGATGCCGCATTTTGATTTTTATCAATTTAGAAATTTAAGTCAAGGTTCATATGATAAAGCTTGAATTGTATATAAAGATATTATCATTTATGTATAATAATCACACGAACGTATATCATGATATTATTAACAGATAAAGACAAGAAACAAATGATCAGCACCTTTATCTGTTTCATTTCTTAAATCAATCCAATTAAATCGTATTGGGGACGTCTGTACTAAGGAATTTGATTAATATATCAAGGCTGCCTCAGGATTTGATGTGTCAGATGGAAACATGAAAGTAGTTAAATTTCTTTTACCTGGTCTTATTGTTTATGTTTTGTTTCTGTATTTACCTATACCATTATACTTTAAACTATTATTTGAAAGTATGAGATTTGTTTTGGCCACCAAAAGAAAATTATAGATTCATACTGTCTAATAAGTTCACAATAAATCAAACGAGATATTCAGTACAAAACTTGACATGATAATAGTATCGCTACACTGAAGGCCTATGTTGTCAATGATAACAATGTCGTCGTCCTTAATCCATGCATTAAGTGAAAGCTAAATCTGACTATTGCGGTTTTTTTTTTCTTGTTCCAAATTATCATTTAGATATGTATTCATACCCCAAGCCCATAATCAGATATTTTAGATGTCATTTGACGAACCACAAGGATACACACTATTGAAATTATGGGGCCTGCATCAATTAATAACAAATAGCTATAGAAACCTTCTAATCGGATGTTTTGAAATAAGATTTTCAAATTTGCCGAGATTCTGGAAAAAGAAACTTTCAGTTCTTCTAAACCATTTATTTATACGACAAGTCCATAATCAACTCTTGGACACCAGATGGCTCAGATATGACACCTTCGCCATTTAACAATTTAACGATAAAACGGATAATTAAGACGTTTTTTAATATCGTAGCAATGGTACTGGACAATCGAGACACTATCTTGTCAAAACTTCAAATTTTCAATATATTGATTTCTCATTATTTTTTTAACTATTATAGCAAGCACGCCAGATTTGTATATACTAGTATATATTACATAATGCATATTTGCAGAGAAAGTCTACTGTTCATATTAACACGGTATTTTTCAGTTTTAATGATATACATATCTTAGGATCTAACCGGTTATATTGTATGGAAGATGTTAAATTGATGTATAGGAAGAAAAGATTGACCACCTGTTGATTCACCGGGAAGTAACCAGGGTCTAAAGTGTTACTTAGAAATTTGCCCCATCACTTTTGCTGCTTGTCAGAGTCCTAAGATAGCCCATTTTTTCATTTGATGCCTAATGAAATTAGACATTCTATAATTCGATTTTTATACTTGATGAATACTTTCATTTCAATTTTGTCTCAGCCGTTCAGCCAATGCAGGTCACTAAAAAAAATATGTCTGCCTGTCGATCTGTCACACTCGATAGCACTACATACCCTTGCATGCAAAATGATCTTTCGTGAGACGATAATAAATTTCGATCGTTAGAACGGGTCGACACTATGATATAGCAGACCTTAGGATCACTTGTGGGCGGGGTCCGTCTTCATTAGTTTGGAAGGTACAGAAAAGTAGGACGTTAAACTCAATCTCGTTTCATTTGCTGCCCCCCCCCCCCGCCCCCATCTATGTTTTATAAATTTGAAGACCACAGAAGTTACACCTATTTACAATGATTCCTTTTATTTGCTCCTCATCTTCCAATAATACTTGATGAAACTTTTTCCACTTTAAAGTTATCAAACCAAGCAATTCCAAATGGGTAAGTTCCTACAGCTACCCAACCATGAGCTATTTCTGTAGGCGCTGTTTTTTCAAATAATTTTTCTCCATTGACAGAACCGACAATGCGACTACCCTAAAAGATAGAATAAACACAACATTAAAATCTATCAAACTATTTCATTAAACTATAGAATAAACACAACTTCTGTATTACGATATCTTAAATACAGAATAAATGTAATTTCTGTATTAACAGAATCTGTCCTTCAAACAGGTTAAAATATATAATAATACTAAATGAAGTGGTGTTCAATGGCACGTCAGCACCAACCGGTATATATTGCGCCAAATATAGAATAATAGAACTTCCATAACATCTATATATATATTTGTCGTTTGTCTGTCTGTCTGTCTGTCTGTTCGGGGTTGGCGGCTACACTAGGTCTGCCCCGAGTCTGAAATTTGGGGTATAGGGGTAGCTCGGACCGGGGAGTAACATAGGCCAGGTGGCGTTAGTTTACCACTTCCGGTTTCGGAGTTATGACCCCCGAGCGAAGCCGGTCTGTTCGGGGTTGGCGGCTACACTAGGTCTGCCCCGAGTCTGAAATTTGGGGTATAGGGGTAGCTCGGACCGGGGAATAACATAGGCCAGGTGGCGTTAGTCTACCACTTCCGGTTTCGGAGTTATGACCCCGAGCGAAGCCGGTCTGTTCGGGGTTGGCGGCTACACTAGGTCTGCCCCGAGTCTGAAATTTGGGGTATAGGGGTAGCTCGGACCGGGGAGTAACATAGGCCAGGTGGTCTTAGTCTACCACTTCCGGTTTCGGAGTTATGACCCTCGAGCGAAGCCGGTCTGTTCGGGGCTGCCGCCTACACTAGGTCTGCCCCGAGTCTGAAATTTGGGGTATGGGGTAGCTCGGACCGGGGAGTAACATAGGCCAGATGGCGTTAGTCTACCACTTCCGGTATCCTGCTAGTACATCATAAATAGAACCTCTTATTAACATATTATTAACAGCTTTAAATATGCAGGAGATACTGTTTCTGTATTAAGTACAAATTTTCAGTACTGACCGCACCTATAACGGGTTTTGGGATATACAGAATACATGTACATAAAATTTGTGTATTTATAGTACATAAAATATAATGACATTGATATACAAAATATATAACATTTCCGTAATAACAACACCTGTCTAAGACCCACTAAAAACAGAATACACAAAAATTCTGTATCAAGAGCGTCTGTCAAAAGGATACAATGAAATATCGAATACATAAAATATCTATATTAAAATAACACTCATCAAATGACTACAATACGGCAATACACGTTCAACTATAAACCCTACATACAGATCTACCTAAGATAATCAGTAATTACCTTTATATCTAGACACATAATCAGTAATTACCTCTATATCGACATATAATCAGTAATAACCTCTATATCTACCAATAGATCTACATATTACCAGTAATTACCAAACTATCTAGCAATAATATCTACATATAATCAGTAATCACCAAACTATCTACCAAAAGGTCTACAAATCATCAGTAATTACCAAACTATCTAACAATATATCTACATATAATCAGTAATTACCTGAACTTGTAAGTTAAGTACATCCCAGCTGTTTGTAACTTTATTAACTTTACCAGATGCCAGAACTTTAGTTCGGTCTAATATAAATAGAAATGAAATAAGAAATATTTCCAGAGAGATATATAATTCAAACAAGCAAACCCCGTCCCCATATCCCACGCCCTTGACAATCACATTGGTACTTAACCAACAAAAACAAGTTATAACATAAATAGCAAGCATCCCTAATGTACACATTAGCGTGCACGTAAAAGAACCCTTGGTAGATGGAATTCGACAGCTGGAGTTGGTTAGGCCATAGCGCCGCTGTCAATGCAGAATTGCTCTCAGTAAACTGTACCGCGTATACTCGTCTTCATTAATCCAATCGGAGCAGAACAATAGGACGTTAAACCCCATTCCTTTTCATCCCACTATATGGTTATAGTGAACATAAATTGAGTCCAGTTACAAACTTCCACCAACATTTATTGTTTTTTTTAAAGAATTACAATGCCAAAGGATCAAAAGATTTAAAAACAGTATTATGTATGATTGATCCAAGTTTGAAACAAAACGTGAAAACTTACATAAATCTGTACTTAAGGTAAAAGTACGTTCTTTTGGGAAGAAAAACATGAACAATCCTTTGATCTGATCTCTGGTTTTACAACCACTCATAGATGATCTAACTGCGAGGAATACGCCATCACTGATATTATGACCTTTGATTTGAACAGAAACTGTAGCAGAGATATCCTTCCTGAACAAATAAAGTGAAACGAATATTATGGAGTAATCGAATCACAATATTGAGTAATCGATTTGATGTATAATACGATTGATTTTATGTTAATCGATTAAGTCCATAATGCAAACGATTCTATATAAAGCAATCGATTAACTCTATATAGAGTAACCGATTAAATCGATATAGAGTAATCGATACGAAACAATGTCATAGTATGCTATATGCTATTAGATATATGGCGGATGGCGGAAATCTTTTAAATGGAAATAAATCACTTCGCAGTATTGTCCATTTAAAACGATCCAGATTATCAGACGCCAGGATTGTTTTGGGATGTCTCAGATCTTTAACTGGCGATTTTAAGTTTTTGATATTACTAACAAGATTTAAAGAAATCCAGATATTAAAGTTGTGATGAATGTCTCCCCTTACCAATTATGATCTCCAAATATGTTGAAAGATGTTTTGTAACTATCTACGTGGCAATAATACCAATGTACGGGTACATCTATAAGCACCTGTTTCATATACTTATGTCCACCACTTTCTTCAACTTCAAATGATCCAATTTGTTGAGCAAAGTAATATGGTTCTTGGCCAACATTGTATCCTATGAATATTTAATACAAAACGTTTAATTTCAGTTTATCTATTAAACAGTGATTGTTCATGGAATTATTATATAATTCATTACTGAAGGGAACATCCCCAGATTTCACAGGACAATGTAAACAAAAGTGGGGTTAAGTGTGTAAATCAAACGTCAAAATATGGGGTTATAGTTTATGTACTTTCACTGCAACTTACAAATCAAAATATTCTGGCTTAGTTCTTTAACGTAACTCTTTTAAGGAATTCCATTCTTCGCTTGTATGAGCGACTTGATAATCGCAATGATCACGTAACGTAGAGCCTTTCACTTTAAATTTAGCCAGTTTAATTTATCAAAATATTTCTGGGATTTCCCTTTTAATCTACTATTGCATAGTAAATATTTTGATACACGACCTTATATTCAAAAAAGAAACAAATAACTTAATTTAATGTAAACAAAACCCCCCAACCCAACAAGCATCCCATCAGTTGGGGATGTCTCTTTTGAAATATAAAGTTGCATCAATGAAAGAAGTTTATCACTGTATTTTAGATTGACAGTTAGACCGTGTATTTTTCTGACTTTATTCTGTATATTTCTATCATAATTTGTCCTACAAGTAAGATTTTAAATGAGCCATAATTTGTCCTACAAGTAAGATTTTAAATGAGCCAATCAAACTGGCACCCTAAAGTCACAACCCACTAAAGTCACAACCCACCTTCCGAATCACTCTTATCAATGACAGGGGTTTTCTAAAATACTCATATTACCATATAATTGACATCTGATAAGCCAATTAGTTCATTTATCTGAATACCAGCTTTAAAGAAAATAATTCAAATATTTTAAAAGCGATTACATCATCAAATCCAGCTGAGCAGGTTTTGTTATTTAATATAAATTACTTAAGACTTCTGCCGGTTTAAACTCCTACCTTCAAAATTCTCAGTATATGGTAGCGGAAATGGTTTAGAAGCAGGAATATGTTGATACTCTCCTTTATGACCAGTATTAACTGTTGTTAATGTCCACACTTCATGCTCTTTTAGTGTCAAAGAGAAAGAACCACCCACTACCTTAAAATGTTAATATTTGAAATCGCATTATCAGTTCATCTTCATAGGCTACTAACAATCTTTTTGTTTCTTTGGTTTTTTTTAAACGAAAATGTAAGTACAAATAACAACAACGACAGATAGTTATTCTTACCTTAATCGAATCCTGCTTTTGGAAATATTTTGAAGAATGCTTTGTGTCAGTGTGCCATACATGTAAAGAATGTACATTCTTAGCCTAAAATGGAATAAAAACATTATGCCCAATACCAGTTTACATAGGTTAGAAAATAAGGGTTTTTATTGCTATGTGTCAAAATCGAGCCAACTTATTTCTATTCTATTTCTTGCGTTTATAATATTATAAATATATTTCACAACATCATCACTTACAATATTGCCTTTAAGCTCAAATTTTACCGGCTGCTCAGCTAATCTACTCCCATGTTCTGGTGATGTCTGTAAAAATTATAATAGGAAGATTCAGCGTCAAATTTTGCGTGTTTAACAATTTAAAACGATATGAGTTCGGGGTACTTTAAACAATCTTGTATATTAGAATTAAACTTTTTTTTATATTGTAACACAACACATTGCCAGTCAATAAGTAGTAGTATTTTTATTCTATGCTAAACTATACAAAGTATCAAAGTAAAAACATAAAATGTTTCATTTTCTTAGACATTATACACTAATTTTTATTTATTTAGATTGTTCTAACGAAATGAGAGACCAGTAAATTTGATATACCATATCAACATACCATTGTCTCTATAATAATTGTTAGTTGTTTTCCATCTGGACTGGTTAAAGCAACATAAGTTCCACCATTATTAAATTTACCAACACCATGTCCATGTTTAAAATATTTCCAGCCTATGTCTGTAAACTGGGTTGTATGAGCTAAACAAAAAAGAAAATGGCGTAATCTTTGTTATTGGATTTCATTCAATACACAATTAAAACAAAGTCATTTACATTTTATAAGAATGGTCTACTCGGACTAGCCTGTAATCTGAATGCCGATCTTTGTAGTGGTAGCACAGATGACGGGACACATTCTTGACTTGGCACATGCAACGTCCAAGCAATAAAACGTGGTAGCAATTAATGAAATGTGATGTGAGTTAAAATATTGGAAGATTTGGGTGGATTTTGCTCTTCGCAAACATCTACTCAATACATATGGTCTGATCCCTACAACATTATACAAGAGTTATGCCCCTTTCCCAGGGCTGGTCATAATCGGGGGCCATTTGAAAAGAATCGGAGATAGTCGGCGCATATTGGCGGTCGTCGGAGGTGAAAAGACGCAGCCATTTTGTATTTTCATTTAACACGTAGTCAAAACGGTTTTACAAACCACTTGTGGGTAAGCAGAATTCACGATTTTTCGTAATAAGATGTCATTCATGCTAGTTATTACCTATTTCCCATATTGGTAACTTGAGTTGGTAATGACCTGACCACGGTTCTATAGCACTCATTAACCCAGCATTGTAGTCATGTAAACCAGGGTAGTAACTTGTTATTATATTCCAGAAAATGGTTCTAGTAGAAACAAAGAAATAATTAGTGGTTTAAAATTACTTGCAAGTCATATTACTAGTTTAATATATACTATTCAAAAAAAGTAGGGGATATTTGATTTTGGGGGCATAATACTAAAATATGCAAATGACTACGAAAAAAGTCACTATAGAACCTAACAGAAGAAACATTTCCAGTTACATGTGACGCCCAAACGCACCAATAGCTACCGCATGGAATGCAGGTGATGCTTGGGATCATCATGGGGGTCCAACCCAAGATTTGCACGACTCTGACTTTGAATGTTACAGTCATTGTGGCATTGAATTCCAGGGTGGAAACATCAGTTTAATTGTTTTAGTGACCAGAAAACAAATTTTGATATGCGTCGGCTTACCCAAAATGAAAGGTTACGTGCCCTTGGCGTGCTACAGATCGGCACAACACAGGCGGTTGTGGCGCGGACGATGAATCTTTCTCAGTCTGTCATAAGCAGGCTATGGTCCAGATACCGTGATACACAATCTGTACAGGACAGACCAAGCTCAGGTCGACCAAGGGCGACAACTCAAGCCTAGGATCGATTTATCCGTACCTTGGCCTTGAGAAATCGTGTCATCACAGCAAATCAGATCAGCACTCGTCTTCAAACAGACACTGGTGTGAGAGTGAGTGGCCAGACGATTCGGAATCGACTGCATAGGGGTCACCTTCGCGCCCGACGTCCTCGCGTGATCCCTTGTTTGAGAGATCATCACATTCCGGCAAGACGTCGTTGGTGTAGGGATCGTCAACACTGGGATAATCGACGCTGGAGCAATGTGATGTTTTCAGATGAGTCAAGGTTCACTGTTGATTTTTTGGACAGACGTAGGAGGGTGTGGCGTCGTCGAAACGAGCGCTTCCAAGACGTTAACGTCATCAGACATGATCGATTTGGGGGTGGTTCTGTTATGGTGTGGGGAGGCATCACTGTTGCTGGAAGAACGGCTTTACATGTTGTTGCAGGGCGTGTTACAGGCCAGTACTACCGGGACAACATCTTGGCAGTCCATGTTGTGCCGTTCGCACGACGTCATGGCCGCCGTTTCATCTTCCAGGATGACAACGCAAGATGTCACAGGGCCAGGATCGTTACAGGTTACCTCCAACAACAGAACATCACCACATTACCTTGGCCAGCACTGAGTCCCGACCTCTCCCCCATCGAGCATGTCTGGGACATGCTTGGACAGAGGTTACGTCAACGTCAACAACGTCCTGCCAATGTCCAAGAACTTGCTGCTGCGTTGCAACAGGAATGGGACAATCTGGACCAAAATGACCTTAGACGTCTCATTAGGAGTATGCCACGTCGGATCAATGCTTGTTTGGCAAACAGAGGAGGATTTACCCGTTACTGACTTGGTTGTGATGCTGTGGTAACTTTGCTGTTTGACCCCGGGTATCATTTTACCCTTATAATGGCCAGTCTGTGCCTTACTTAGTCTAACGATCATTTGGAATAAATCGATGAATGTGAACTTCATTTCATTTTGTCATTTGTTTCTTCGTCAGTTTCATTAGGTGACTTTAATAACACTTAAAAATCAAATATCCCCTACTTTTTTTAATAGTATATATAGCCAGACACGATTAAAGCTGACCAGATTAAGTTAGTCATGCAAACCAGAAAGTTTGTTGCTTTTTTTATTTTTTTACTGCGTTCTCGAGTTCAAATAACTATGTCAATGCGAATCAAAAAGTCAATTAAATTTGTTATTAGTTTTCAAATAAACAAAAGTAAATGTATTACATAAAAGTTTAAAATGCTTTTTTCTTGCAAGTCTTTTATCAGAATATGCGACTTTCTCATTGATTAAAATAATTTTGACCCTCTTATGGTGGGAATCTCAAAGATTTGCAAAATCTCATGATTTCTTGAGATATAATGCCAGATCTTCCCCCTTTCTAATCTTTAAAGCTTGGTGTTATCTTACTGTACTTTACCGGCTATTAATTCTATTACAATGATATTTTGAAAATGGGTGATTTTGACTTTAAAACAAAATGTAAACTACTGTAAGATGTAAACAGGATCATTGGAGCTTAGTCAAGCCCTGTGAGACGTATTGAGTAATTAATCTAGTAATAGCAATTATACTATTTGTCTTAATGAGAATAAATAAACAAAATGTAATCAGTGGTCAGAAAAGCCAAAATATAAACAAGTTGAACCAAACTTACGTTGTCATATAACCGTTAATATAGTTTTGGTTTAGTGTCTGAAATGTTGATAATATTTAAATAAGTTAAGAAAGAGATGAACGATTCTTAATTATATGTACGAATCTTATACAAAAATATGTACGAATCTTATACAACAATATGTACGAATTTTATACAAATATATGTACGAATCTTATACAAAAATGTGTTAGAATCTTATACAAAAATATGTAAGAATCTTATACAAAAAATGTAAGAATCTTATACAGTGTGTAAGAACCGTATAACGTAAACTCTTTCAATATCCAGTTCAGTGCCGAACAATAACGACTTTATTTTAGGACATATATGACATTTACCTCTGCTGTATTTTGTCCCCAAACAGAGTCTTCAGATGACCAAAGTGACTTTCCAGTCTGCTGGGCCGAATGAGTACTTGTAGTTTTTGGATAGTGAGCTCTGCAAATAATATTTGATAAGATTCCTAGTATACATGTATGTAAGATGCATAATTGGGACGACATACCGGCGTATAAAGATACATTAGTATACTATTATCCAGTAAGGCAAATGGTGTATTCCCAGAATTTGATTTCATAAAACTTCACTTTCTATTCTTTGTGTTCTTCTAATTTGTTTACCCTTTAGGAAACTCATCAACTCTATAACTGAAAAACTTAACATTGGAATCTCAAAAGCAGCAAATAATAAACTGAATAAAAATATCATTATATTTCTCGTATAAACATACCCAATGGCATATACAGCATTTGCCAATTCTTTGTCTTTAGCCATTTGATCTGCTATTCCCCAGTGAAACTCATCAGGTGCCACAATTAACGTATGTTTATAACCAGCATTATCTAATGATTTACGTAATATCTATATAAATAAAATCAAAGGTTGGTGTATGTATGTTCGCCCATCACGCCTCGTCGCCGCGATCCGTCCCCACAAGACATGTGCTATGAAATTAAACAGTATGACCCCGTGAATGTTTCGGGCCATGATTTGTGATGGTCAAGATCATTTATTAGTTTAACACAGCCGAAATTCTGTGCCTGTGCCGAACTGTTCTACTGCAATTAACGGGAGGTAACCATGTTTATTATGGTAATTAAGTTTAATAATAGTAACAGATGATGTAAGCTAGCGAGAAAGCGTGCAAGAAATGAAGGTGCCGAGTATATCTTGAGCCCCAGGCGAAGCCATTTATCGAGCTAGGCTCAAATAATCACTTATGACAAATTAAACAATCTCCCGGCACTGGTCAGCATACCTGGAAACTGTCGCTCGGAAGTTCTTATATACTTATAACAATTCGGAAAATTTCTACTATTGTAAGCACTATCGAAATTACCTATAGACAGTGGCGGCGCCGGCCGTCGGTGATTGGAGGGGCAAAGCTGGAGCAAAGTACAAGGTTAAGGGGGAAAAGGCACGAGCTTTAACTAGGGGTAGGGGGCCTCCTCCAGAAAATTTTGAAAAACAGGTTGCCGGAAATGCAGCCTGGCAGTATTTCAGGCACTGATCGATGCGGTAAAGTGTCAAACGAACGGACTTGCGAATCACGACGAAGCCCACTCAAGAGCGTCAAAGTAGGGAGTCCTCCCCCAGAAAATTTAGAAAAATAGACTGCCGGAAATGCTGTCTTACAGTATTCTGTCAGACACCGATCGTCGAGATAAATAGATCTGACCAGAAACCGTCCGACTCCTGATCACTAGTTTATCCGACTAGAGAACAAAATGTCAAACGAACGGACTTGCGAACCTCAACGAATCCCCCTTGTAAGCGCCTAAGTAGCGAGTCCATTGGGGACCTCGCCAAGAAAATTTTGAAAAATAGACTGTCGGAAATGCTCTACAACATGCAAGTTTATGACTGAGTGGGGATGTGGGATTTATTCACCGTAGAAGGTATTGGTATTGATTACCGAAACGGATCACAAATACTTTTTTTTATTTTCTAAAATTATTGGGGGGGGGGGGGGGCAAACAGAGGGCAGACCAGATTAATGGGGGGGGGGGTCAAATGCTCCCCCCCCACTGGCGCCACCACTGCCTATAGATTTGATCAGTATTTCTTACACGGACTGTAATTTTAAACATCCGCCAACATCCCCAGTTCTGCTTTCTTGTGTTTAAAACACACTTTTATTTACCTCTAGTCCTGAGGGGGAGGGATTAGGGAGGATGTTAAGTGAAATATCCTAGTCCTATCTTCATCTAAATTCGGCAATGGCTGTAGGAAATATGTACGCTGAAGACAATTAAATGTACGGATGGTCGATATAAAAAAAATATTTTAGAACATATCATGTGGCTACACGATATATCCATTTAATTCAATAAGAATATCTGACAGAAAGACAATATCTACCTTGATATAACTTGTGCGATACGGACTTTCATTCCAGATCTGAAAGAAATGTCCAATGACACACATCATTTTGCATGTATAAGAAGGACGAGATATAGAACACCCAATGGCATATACTTTACTATATAAACTATAGTAAAATTATACTACACTCATAGGCGTACGAGCTGGGGGGGGGGCTGGGGGGGGGGGGGGCGGCGGCCCCTCCCCACTCCATTTTGGGCACCAAATGCTGGGAAAATTTGGGCACACAATTGTACTTTGTAAAAGTTGTATAAAAAAATATTGTGTTCTTAAATGTGTCAAAAATTTCCCCGTACGCCTATGACTACACTTATACTAATATAAACTATAGTAAGATTATACTACACTTATACTAATATAAACTATAGTAAGATTTTACTACACTTATACTAATATAAACTATAGTAAGATTTTACTACACTTATACTAATATAAACTATAGTAAGATTATACTATACTTAAGCTAATATAAACTATAGTAAGATTGTACTATACTTATACTAATATAGATTATAATCTACTACTATAAACTATATACTACTATAAAGTATATTAAGATTATAATATACTTAGCACGTGTGGGTTTTAATATAAGGTCTGTCATTGAGTCATCCTCGCACTAATTAAAGACCTTTACGCGCAAGCGAATTATTGAAATAAAATTGAACCATATGTTAGTTCCGAAATGCGAAATGACCTAGTTTGTGTCGAGTGGGCGTCAACCCTCTCTCTCTCTCTCTCTCTCTCTCTCTCTCTCTCTCCTTCTCTCTCTCTCTTTCTCTCTCTATCCATTTTTTCGACATCGGTTAAAGGCCACAGATAATTACGCATAAGCATGCATCCAGGAACTTGGGCGTCTGAACGGGCTATTTTGTACTGCGAAGATATAATGTCTTATGATTTACTCACGCGGCTGTAATCTGGGTACAGTTATAAAATGTACTTACGCCAATGTAATCTATATTTAGATTATGATGAACTTTAGCCCCATGTACCCACTTGACAATATAATCAGCCGTTGTTTCCATGTTCTTCCAGGGTAGTCCATGAGAATCACTCAACCATCCAGGAAAACCCCATGGTAACCCGTACAGTTTAATATTAGGATTTCTCTATAACGTTAAACAGATAGATGGAATTTCGACTAGAAGGTCCCGGATTTGCAACCTCTTTGAAAATGTTTCTGAAAGTTAAGTGGAGTTACTCTCCTTTCTAAAAAAAACCCCCCACCTCCACGACACAGGTAAACTTTTCTCTTCCCTTCCTAGATCAAACCCGAAAAGCCAATAGAAGTGAAGTGTAAATACATATAACACACATAATTATATTATGGTATTCCTCAAGAGTTTGTACCTTTTTGGCTTCTTTTAACATCCACCACTCATAACCCCTTGTATAATCTTCATCCCAACTATAATGCATATGTGATGCTTCTGTTCCATCTGTAACAAAGATTCGGGTCTATTTACCTCTCTTGCCACCTTGAACTAAACACACAATAATAGTGTCCAATAAAATGACTAGAAACAGATTTCTTGCCGCTATAAATATGGAATCATGCCCGCCCGTTATGCATAATTACATCTAGCTGTTAAAACATACATTATGCAAGAACTAAATCTGACTATTGCAGGTATTTTTTTAGGCCCGAAATGTTATCTAAAAAAATAATTAACTTATCAAGACCACAAACAACACTCGATGTTAACGCTAGCCTGCGATATCCGATTTGCTGCTATACTTTCATTCATGATTTAATCATGAAATGGATAATCGAGACTATGTTTTTTTTTATCGGCCCGACTTTAGTAATGATGATCTAGGCTAGGCCGAACATTTATCGCTAAAATCTCGGTACAAAGTGGACCAATTTGACTGAAATTTTCAGCAATTTCCCTTTACATTATATAGTTTTTAACCTATTATAGTGAGAACTGCCAGCTCCTTATCTAATCTCCCATAATGTAACTTTAAGAAAAGGAATATATAGCAATTATCAATCGCTGTTTTAAAGAAAAAACAGTAGAAAGTGTTTTTTTTTTTTTTTTAAACAATATTTTTATTCATTAAATCTGAATTTGGATTGGGGAACAGGCTATGCCTATGTGTGACCCCTCTCTCTGATTTAGGTACATGTACACATTATAAATATTTACATACATACATACATACATACATATATACATAATTACATAATTATAGAGCATATATGATACATCATGGATAATATAGAGACTTAGATGATTATACAGAGTGCAGGGCTTGGAATGACTTAAGAGTTGTTTATGGAGATTTAAATCTTTTTGATAAGGAAATAAATTGTTGGACTTCTTGGAAAATAAGTGTGTTTATCTCTGGACTAAGTGTTTGTTTAATAAACACCGGTGGTATTCTATGGAATGTTTCTGCCTACTGCCCGTCGAACTGCACCTGTCGGCGTTATTTTACGCGAATGCAAACGGCTGTGGTTTTTCGTCCCTTCTGAACGGTCCCTTGTTGTGGTCTCCATTCTGCATAACGGACAAGGTGAAACCAGGCTGGAAAATCCCGACGGACTTTCCGGGTGAGCACCGGAACCAAATCAGGTACCCCTTATTAGAAAGCCGTTACCATGCACCCCAAACTATGCTTTAACTACATGCACATGGCCACACAGAACTATACAGTTTTGCGTCACTACATATACATGACAGATTAATGTTATGATTTCTAACTGCCAACTGAATTATATAGAAGTACAAGTATTTAGTTCTAATTTTTAGACTTTATGTGTCCATAATTTACAAAATGGAAACCATTTTATTAATTACTAAGATTATTAATAGTCTTTACCTGTACTTTGCATATCACCGCCTATTTCTACTTTGAATATATCAAGGGAAGCTCCAAAATTAGGCTGAAATAATTTATTGGATTATTGAGTTTGAAATAGAGAAGATATAAGTGACGGAGTAATTTAATTGAAGTACCGTACTTTCTGCTGATTGTATTTATATTCACCTTACCTTAAATAAGTAGTCCAAAATTTCAGATCTCTGTTGATCCGGATAATTCACAAGTAATTTCGATGTAGCCTTTAAATAAAAAAGAAAACGAGCATCGGTGACTGATTTCATAGTTGTAATTCTTTTGTCCTTGGTGTCAATGGATTTTAACTTTTGTTAAGCAGGACAACTGGGAATATTTTCAGCTGAATCGATCAGACATTGTTAAAGCTTTTAAGAAACATGTTTAAGATGTTACCCCTCCACCGCTGATTGCTCCGATACCAGTAAACGTTCTTTCATGGCCAACAGAATCATCAATGGTGTATGTAGTAGCACCATCGTTACCATTTATGTTATAAATTAAAATCACGAAAAGAACAAAGTTAAAATTGTTCGCCATGTTCCCAGGCGTGAATATTACACCAACGGACTGACTTTACTTCTTAAATATTAAAGTTCTTATAGATAATCAGCATATGTTGTCTTCAAAAAGAAATACAGGCCAAGGTTAATCTCATATCTGACCTGTTGTTCCTAATATAGGCCAACATAATTGTTTTGCTTTGTCGTTGTAATAATAGTAGGTCTGGGGATTAATATCGATGTTGGTTCCTAGGGATTTTCTAATCACAATGCCATCAGAGCTGTAGGACGTAGAATGGGACGATAAACCGAGGTCTAGTGTATTCCGCTTACAGTAGGTTAAAGATCCCCGGACTAATAAATTGTCCTTAGCAGTAGGAGAAAACTCAAGGACCCTGATAATATACTTGTAAATCGAAAAAAGAATACGTCGTGATGTTGCATATTATACTGCATGTGTAACACTAATAGTAGTAACATAGATCAGTTTCTTAAATAAATGATTTATTTACATCGGGAACAGAATATGAAACAGCTAATAAGTACAACAGGAACATACATGTACATCAAACAGGAAATAAACTACACCAGGAATATAAACAATAACAATAACACAGCGGCTGAACTCGGGTGAATCTATTCGCCCATCCCCACTCTCCTCTGATCCTCTAACGCCGCTTTTTTGTTGTGTTTCCGAGAGTAATTTAATTTTGCCGATTATTGTTACTGATATAAACGATATCAAATAGTAACATTTATTAGGCCACACATTTAACCTGGGATTCTGTTTTTGGTACCAATCAGTTGTAAACATCCATATATGTCAGCAAACTGCTGGATGTATAGGAGGAAAGTATGCTCGAAACATACCATTCAGACAAAAGGATAATCAAAGGGGGAATGGAAAAGCCTTATATGGAGAACTACGTAATGAAAATAAATAATGATAAGATGTTGCATAGAGCTTTTTTTTGTAATTTAATTTAAAATTGGATCTGATGTAGAGTATATTTAACGCGGATAATTGAGCCGGGTGAGTTTTTAGGCTATAAATATGCATCAACAAAAGAATATTTATATAAGAAAACATATTTTATTCAATCTTTCATTTTATTTCTAAGTATAATTTACAGAAAGTTACTCATTTATACACGACTTTAATTAAAACATATCATGTTTTTATTTTATTTCATAATGCGGTAACTTGAAAATTATCAAACCAGGCAATACCATATGGATAAGTTCCTACTGACACCCAACCATTTGTTATTCCTTTAGGTGCCGTTATATCAAATAATACTTCTCCATTTACAGAACCTGTTAAACTGCTTCCCTAAAATATAGAATAGACATAACTTCTGTATTAACCACACCTTTCTTTAAATATTGAATACACAAAGAGTATACAATGACATATAATGTACATTAAGTGTATGCATTAGTAGCACTGAAATTGACCTATACAATCAATATTTACCTGAACTTTTAAGTGAAGTATATCCCAGTTTTTGGTAACTTTATTTACTTTACCAGATGCCAGTACGTTAGTTCGATCTACAATTAAAGAAAATAAAAAGACAGTTTATACAGGTAGGTTCCCACTATCACGATTCGCGCTACGATTGAAATCGTGGTTTTAATCTCGGAGTAATCGTGGTCATCCTATCAGGTCATATATATTGAGGTCAATGGTATCAATCGTGTTGATCGTGTCGAAATGTATTCGAACGTATTTGGAAGTACCAGATTGTTGACTCAGTTGGGACAATCGTCGTAAAACATCGCACAACATTTGGAAGCTAGCATTAGGTACAGAATTATGTATGACAACCATTATAATATGTTCTAGTTTTAAAGACCCGTCCCAAGTTTGATCGATTTGGTACAAGAAAATATATTTTCCTGCGGTTGAGGGAACCGAATTAGGAGGAAAATAATTTCTCTCCATATGCGTAGTAATATAAGGGGTATGAAGTACTATTTGCAAGTAAATAGTCTTACGAAGTCATTCAGGTCGAAGTCGCCAGATGCAACAGACGTTTTTACAACTTAACACTGATTTGTTTTCACTACGTGTACGTCCGACAGATAGGTGTTTATCTACGACAACATAATGGATCAACACGAAAACATTCAGTCTGCTGTATCTTTAGCTGACATTTTGAATGAAGTAAAACATCAGAGAATTGAAACAGAAAAGAAGTTCGATTTGTTACGAGCAGAATTACATGGGACTGTGCAGAAGTTTTCATCTGACGTGAAGAAGATCAAGACAGATCAAGATCATGATTGGAAATTTAAAGGCAATAAGATTCAGTTTGGTTTCAACGTAGAACTGGGAGATAAGATCCAACATATAAGACATGCAGTTCATAATGATGACAGAGAGGGTTTAGATGGCTTAATAGATGATGTTATGACCAAACTAACTGAAAGAAATAAATTGATTAAAATAGCAGATTCATCGGCAGGTGGCTGGGAGACTGTCAACCAGTATGTATCTAATCCCTTGGCCAGTGATTCTGAAGATGAAAAGAGAATTATTAGAGCTGAACAGAGAGCATTGAAGAAAAGGAAGGAGTCTAAAGGTAGATCTTCCGTTTCTAAGAGAAGAAGATTATATGATAGTAATGGCAGTTCGGTGACAGCAAGTTCGTCTAATTTGGTTTCCTGTGTTCCTGCAAGCAGTGGCGGGGGCAGGAACTATTCATTTCGTCCCCAACAAAACAGAGGTTCCTGCTACAACTGTGGAGAGTTCAGTCATTACAGAAGAGATTGTCCCCACACCAACTCTTACAACAACACAACAACCGTTAAATCAACATAGTGACGAGATTTCAACCTGTATAAAAGATGAGTATTTTCATGATTTTAATGATTGTAATGTAGATCAGTCGGCCGTAGAGAGGTTCACGCATGATTATTTCGAATATGAGGAAGGTCAAGCTAACATTTTAGTTAAAGGTCGATTACGCAAAAATGTAAAATTCTGGAAAGAAATTAACTGTAATTCGTATATATTAGATGTTATTGAAAATGGTTACAAGATTCCTTTTAATGATGTTCCAGATTCTAAGTTTTTAAGAAATAATAGATCTGCTTTAGATAATTCAGAATTTGTAGAAGGGGCTATTAAAGATTTAGAGGTAAGGGGCTTGGTGAGTAGATGTCAAGTTCCTCCAAGAGTTGTTAATCCGCTCTCAGTATCTATTCAGAGTAGTGGTAAGAAAAGGTTAATTTTAGATTTGAGAGAAGTTAATAAATTTGTCGGTAAGCAGACGGTTAAATATGAGGATATTCGTACAGCATTGTTATATGTAAAGGAAAAGTCCTGGATGTTCAAGTATGATATACATGCTGCTTATCATCATGTCGAGATTTGTGATGCACACACACAGTTTCTAGGTTTTTCATGGGTCACGAATGGAGTCGCAACCTATTATAAGTTCTTGGTGCTACCATTTGGTCTAAGTACAGCACCTTTTTTATTTACTAAATTATGCAGAGTTTTGGTCAAAAAATGGAGAAGTGAAGGTAAATATATTGTTATGTACATCGATGATGGTTTTGGTGTTCATGATGATTATAATATGGCACATAAGCTTAGTCAAGATGTTAAGAAAGATCTTTTAGCTAGTGGGTTTGTTCCTAAAAATGAGAAGTCAACTTGGGAGCCTGTACAAGAGTTAATATGGTTAGGAGTGGTGATAAATTCTGAAAATGCAAATTTGAGAATTCCACAGAGACGATTAGATAAAGTCTTACGATCTATAGTTCAAATTCAGCGTGATTGTATATCGAATAAGGCAGTAGCTGTGAAAAAGGTAGCGAGTGTTGTCGGCCAGATTATATCTATGTCTATTGTTGTCGGAAGTATTTCCCAAATCATGACACGATCATTGTCTATTGATATTTTAAATGGGTTTAGTTGGGATTCTAAAGTACGTATTTCTGAACAGAGTATTCAACAGTTATTTTTTTGGAAGGAAAATATAAGTAAAATTAATTCTAAAGTTTTAAATTTTCAGCCTGGCTGTGAACGAATAGTGTATTCAGATGCTAGTAATGAAGGGTATGGGGGGTATTGTGTACAAGCCTATCGTGATGTTGTTCATGGTTTTTGGAGTGCTGAGGAAGCGATCAAGAGTTCTACTTGGAGAGAACTTGAAGCTGTTCGTTGTATTCTTAAATCTATAGTACATATTTTAAAAAATAAAAGGTTGAAATGGTTTTCAGATAATCAGAGTGTGATTTCTATTGTTCAGAAAGGTAGTATGAAGGCAGAATTGCAATGTATTGCATTTGAGATATTTAGCATTTGCTTAGAAAATGGAATTATTCTAGAGATAGAATGGATACCTAGAGCTGGGAATGTTAGAGCAGATTGTTTAAGCAGAATTGTTGATTATGATGATTGGGCAGTTGGAGATGGAATTTTTAAATATATTAGTAATATATGGGGACCATACGAAATTGATATATTTGCATCAGAACATAATCATAAGTGTGATGTATTTTATTCCAGATATTGGAGTCCAAATTCTTCAGGAATAGATGCCTTTTCTTTACCATGGCAGGGTAGAAACTGTTTTATTGTACCACCTGTGTGTCTGATATCACGTGTCATGAAATATGTGGTTGAATGTAAAGCCTATGGCACAGTAATTATTCCGTTATGGAAGTCAGCAAGTTTTTGGCCGTTGATTTGTCCGAATGGTTACAAGTTTATATCTGTTATTAAAGATTGGGTTGATTTACCACGTGGAAAGGAGTTTTATAAGTCCTCGTTGCATTATGAGAGTATATTTGGCACGAAAGATTTAACGTTTAGGATGTTGGCATTAAGAATTGATTGCCGTAGTTAGATACGACAATTTGAGCTTGAGAAGGCTGGTGATAAGTCGAGGTGACTTCGGATTAGTTGAGATAACTAATGATTGATTAAATGATGTGATGTTTGTAGTATAACTGAGAGATTTTTGTTTATCGGTGTGGTCTATAATGTAATTTTAATGTCAATCATATATAATAATATGGTAATTTGTGTTTCGTTATTATCATGTTAT